GGGAGAAGCAGACTCCCCGTGGAGCTGGGAGCCCGATGCGGGACTCGATCCCGGGACTCCAGGATCATGACCTGAGCTGAAGGCAGTCGCCTAACCAACTGAGCCACCCAGGCGCCCCTCCCTTGTCTTTAAGAAAAAAAAAAAAGAGTTAGAGAAACCAAGAACTGGACAGAGGAAGGGTCTTGCCAATTCATGCAAGAGGCATGGGCTTTGAGGTTGAACCTTACTGTGAGTCACAGCTCTGCACCACCCCCCGCCCCCATTTGTGATTTAGGTAAATTACCTTCACTGAATCTCAGTTCCCACACCTGCAAAATGCACATAAAAATTATCCCCAAACACTGAGAAATAAATGAAACAGCAGATGAAGAGCCCTAAGTCCAGTGCCTATTACAAAGTAAAGGCTCAGGAAATGGTAGCTTTTATTATGATAAACCCAAACATTTACAAGGGAGGCAGCATGGCATCATAATAAAGAATGCAGGCTTTGCAGTCCTGGCCTGAGTTCAAATTCAGACATTCCAGAAAATTCCTAGTTCATGGTCTAGGGCAAGTTCTGTCATTTCTCTCGACTCGGTTTCTTCATCTAGAAAATGCTAATCTCATAAGGTTTTCTGTGAAAATTCAATGGGCTAATGCAGGTAAAATACTCAGCTTGTCCAGGAACACATTTAGTGTTTAATATGTGGTGGCTTCTGTCATCCCAGTCACTGGTGATTAGTGGGATTCTGGGCACAATGAGACATTGGTGTGCAGGACAAAAACATTACAACTTTCTAAATGTTTTTTTACCTTGTCCTTTCCCATTGAATGTGTGATGCGTGTATCAAGTTAAAGACACATTTTAGGGGTTCAGGCCGATAGGTGGGCACAATCAAGAGTCTGGATGTCACAGAATGAAGCAGATGGAGGAGAGAGGGAATATCAGACAGAACAGAAACACCACCCTAAGAAGAAGCACTTCTGTCCTCCAAAGGTATCGTGCATGCTTTGGAGGAAGAGCATGCTTTTAGGGTGGGAGGAGATGCTGAGTGTAAGGGGGTGAAACCAGACTGTGCAGGAAGGCAATTTGAGAAAAATTAAAAATAACATGGAAGGTCATGCAAAAACTGCCCCAGACCTCTGTACCCCAGGGGAGCCCGGGGAACTCTAACTTGAGCTGTGTCACTGCTTGCCCAGGTGTCCCGTGACCCCCTCTAAGGCAGGCCCTTGCTGCTCAGCACTGAAGGCCTGCGACATCCTTCCTGATTTATCTGCCTTCCCCTCTTTCCTTTTCACCCCTTCCCTCCCCCACCAAGCCAAGAACCTCTTCTACCAGCATTGCCTATCCAGCCTTCGAGCATCAAGCTTTCAATCCTGGCTTCATGAATCCCACCTGGGGAGTTTTTCCAATTTACCAAAGCATAAGGTCAACCCCCTGAGATTCTGATTCATCAGTTCTGGGGTGAGGCCTGGACTTTGGCAATTTTTAAAAATTTTCCTAGGTGATTCTTTCAACTCTTCCAGGAAGCCAAAAGGGATTTCTCTCTCCTTTGAACCCCCAGAACACTCAGAAACCACCTACTTTTGACTGGCTTGGATTCAACCATTGTGGATTTAATCATTCCTTGAGTAGATGGAGGCTGCCTGCCTCCAAAGTATTCTAGGAAAAAAATCTCTACTTCAACCTCTCCAGGTTATGATTTCAGTCTGAGCAATTTTACAGCTCAGTAATTTGTAGGTAAATGATGGTAATGCAAAATAATTCTTACAGACAGGCTCACAGTGTTCTATTTGGTGAAGGTCCAATTAATCTCCCTCCCCTTCCACCAGAAAAACCAGTTTGCCTCCATTGTACATTCCTTTTAATAAAAGTGTCCACTGATCCTCTTTCAAGCTGGTCAGAACATCTTCCTGTCCAGTCATTAGTCAGTGACTAGAATAAAATCTTCGCCACGTGATCACTTTTCTATCTTCTGAATCATGACTTTACTATTTCTTTCTTTTTTTTTTTAAAGCTTTTATTTATTTATTTGACAGAGATCACAAGTAGGCAGAGAGGCAGGCAGAGAGAGAAGGGGAAGCAGGCTCCCTGCTGAGCGGAGAGCCCGATGATGCTATGATACTGATACGATGCGGGGCTTGATCCCAGGACCCTGAGATCATGACCTGAGCCGAAGGCAGAGGCTTTAACCCACTGAGCTACCCAGGTGCCCCGACTTTACTGTTTTTTAAAGATTACTGTGTCTGCTTCTTTGAGGCACCCCTTACCACAGGGTGTGGCTCATAAGGATTGTTGGGTGAAATGCACTGAGTTGTTTTAATGCTCCTTTAGTGACCCCCTTGGGGGAAAAAAATCACACAATAAAAGGATATCTAGCCTAGGGGTCTTCAAACTGTGCTTTATTCCTCATTCTATAGCCAGGAGAGGCAATGACTTGAGGGTTAATTACAATTTACCCAATGTGGTAAAGAAAATTAGTATTTAAGCAGGAGCTCAATTTTCAACAAAATCCTTACTGAGTATGTCCATTGATAGGAGATGGGGATAGAATAAAAAATGAGACAGCTGAGTCTCCCACCCACACAAAGCTGGCAATCTGTTGCTGTAATCTGTCATCTTTTTGATCCTATGTGCCACCAGTAACCAAATTAAAAATAGTGAGTATTCGTCACGATAAAAATATATTTTATAAGCATGAGATTAAAAGCATATGTAGTAAGAGGCCTAATAATTTCTTCCTGTACCCCAGAAAAGGATCTTAGTCCCTCCCAGGATGTGTGCACTGGACTTCAGAGGCCCCAGGCCTATAAGATGGTGATCCTTCCCCTCCCCCTTTCCTGATGGCTCCTCCCCCAGCCTGCGGGAAGATACCAGGACCAGCCCCACTGGCCTTGGGGAGCTAGCTTCTGATGAAGCCCGGGTAAAAGCCATTCCTGGCCCTGAGCCTGGGCACACCCCCTCCAGCTCGAGACACTCGGGTTTCTTAGAGAGCAGTGTCTTTCCCGCTCCTGACCCAGAACCATTGATCTCGGGGCTGGGCAAGGCCCCAGTTAGATCATCAAGCTGCCCCAGGCTTGGAAGTAGATGGGCCCGGGGTTTGAATCCCAGTTCCGGTGACTTTTGTGAGAGACAGAGAACCGTAGTGTCTAACAGGACAGGGGCTGGAGCACCCCGTCCTGGGACTGAAGCCTGACCCGCTCTATAGGAGCTGTGTGGCCTCGGGCAAGTACTGAGTCTCATATGTAAAACAAGATAAAAATAGCGCCTGTCTCAGAGGAGTCGTGGTGAGGATGAAAAGAAGACACACCTAGAGCTGAGGAATTGGCCATGATGCATGGGAAACACACGTGCATTTAGTAGTATTTCTCCCCTAAACTTCAGAGGGCTGACTTTCCACATCTGCAAAATGGGTGCGGCAGCAGCGTCCAATCTATCAAGGGTTCAGCCTGGCAAGTTGTAAGGTTCAGTAAATAACGGACGTTATGATTTAATTATATCTTAAGAGGTCCCAGGACACCCATTTTACAGATGAGGAACCCGAGGCTCAGGTCACCTGCCTTCTCAAGCACCACACCCTTCCGAGATGACAAAAGCAACACTTGCTTCTCGGTGCCCTGCACTCTGCAGTTCACAAGGCGCTCTCACATCTGCCATCTTAGAATGAAGGACCAGCCTCATCCTCTTTTCTACAGATGGGTTATATGAGGCTCAAAGAACCCAAAGACAGTCATTCCTCCCCAGCCAGTCTCTGTGGGAGCTTCTCAATCCTAGGCAGAAAGGAAATGCAGTGCGGCAGGATTCCAAGCCAAGAAGTTTATAAGCATAGAGGACTCGCCCCCCTCCCCCCAGACTTCCTCTCCTCCGTGGTGGGGGTGGCAGTGGTGCAGAGAAGACTCGGACTTGCATGCTCAGAAATCAGGGTACAGACCACATCCTGCACTTTGTCCCCACCCAGGAAGTATCTTGGAGAAGCTGGGTGGGGTGAGGCTAAGTGATACCCCTGGGCCTCCCCAGAAAATCCTAGAATAATGCAACATGAGGAGTCATGCAACTCCAACCCATTTTACCAGCTGTGCCCTGGCACATCTCTTGCCCCTCTAGGGAGGAAGGAACCAAGGCCTAGAGGGGGTGGGTGTGCCCACCCACCCACGCCAGGCCGGGCAGGGGGTTGGAGCCAGGTGGCCCAAGGCTCCTGCTGGGTGCTGCAGTGCAGATGCTCCAGACGCTGGCAGCTCCCCAACTCTGCAGAGCCTCTCCCACCCCTTCCCAGGGTCTGCTCCCACAGGTGAGGTCCCACCCTTCTCCAGGACAACCCCCTCCTCTGCACGCTGGTATCCACATTCTGCCCCAGCAAGAGCTATTGCCCTTACCCAGAAACCACAAACAGTTTCTGAATCCAAGCAGCCAGTGCTTTGGGAACAAAGGGTGGAAGGCAGAGGAAGATGGATGAGTGACTGTCACAGCTGCAGAGGGGGATGCAGGCCTCGGCCTCCCTCCCCAGCCCCACCCAACTCCCAGAATCCTAGGTCTTAGAACAGTTGAATGCCAGCGCTGGAAGTGGCAGGCAGTTCAGCAGCCTTTGCTATACAGATGGTTAACCACGGCCCAGGCAGGGAAGAACCTTGCCCCAGGACCCCTCCAGCACCGGGAACGGTAACCCTGCTTTCCAAGGACTTGCAGGCCAGTGCCCTTTTGCATGGCACAGGGCCTGCCAGCTAGAAGGGCACGGTCTGTGGGAGCTGCAGCTGGAAGGGTCATTCACCTGGAAGGGCAAAGCAGGGCAGGATATCCCTTCTGGGTCAGTGGGGTCAGCAATTTCAGGTATGCTTTGGGTGAGGCAGGAGGGGGAAGTGAGTGAAAAAAATGGCAGGCTGAGGAAACCCGAGTCCTTTGGCCAACCCCGGAGCCATATGTCCAAATTTGGAATAGTCAGAGAAGACCCGCGGGGCTTTAGAGAAAAGGAGGGGTAGGAAGGAAGCAGAGGCTGGATTCTCTTCCCAAAGGACCCCTCCGCTCCCCTTACAGGGCCTACCAGCGTAGCCCAGGCTTCACAAGTCTGTAATGAAGACTTCCCAAATCTGTAATCATTCCTTGCAGCTGACAAGTAAATCAATGTTAACGACAGCCATCATTTCCACGGAGAGGGGCTGGGTTTGGAATAAGCTGAGACTGGGAGAGGGGAAACTACTGATTCAAGGTCATGCTGCAGGTCGATGGAGGAGCTGGGATGGGATTCGGGGCATTTCAGTCCATTGCTGGTATTTTGGGAGTTTTCTGAAGACCTAAGCTTCGGGAAGGCCTAAACTGGGCTTCCGGGGAGCGGGGACGAAGGGTGGGGCATATGCCCTGAGCGCCCAGCTGCGAGTCCCCTTCAGGCCCGCAGTGGTCCAAAAGGGAGAGGAGGGCTCCTGGGGTGTGAACAAGCCAGTCCCCCAAGGGTCTGCACTCCGAGAGCCCTCCTCTTAACACATACAAGCCACTTCGCGAGCGGTTGTGGAGGGTCTGCCTCTTCCTGCAGCCTCAGTCTTAGGCCTCAGCCACACCCTTCCCTGCGGTCCTTAGACCCGCCCCCACCCCCCCCCCCCGCACTAGTCCTGTTGCCCCCAAACCCAGGTCTTCGAAGTCTCTCCAGCCTCCCACCCCAGCCAAAGCGCGGCCAGCATCCAGCGCTGCCTCCGCCCGAGCGCCCCCGGCCCCTGGACCACACCCGCGCCAGAGGCCGCCCGGTCCCCCCAACCCCCGTGCCCTCCCTTTCACTCCCCCTCCCTGTTCCCCTCCCACCCCCCCCCGCTTTCTTTTCAGCTCCCGCCGCCCTAGATAGGTTCCACTGCGCTCCCCCAGACACATGCAGCCTGCGATCCTCTCGGGTTCCTGCCCCTGCGGCCCCCCACCTGCCTGCGCCGGCCACCTGCCTGCGCCCCAGCCCGGAGTCCCGCGGGAGGCACAGGTCAGCGATGACTGGGCGTTTATCGCTGGTCCCCGCGTTCGCTGCAGCCCCCAGGAAGGAGGAGGGTCCCCTGATGCGGTCCCCTCTCCCGCCTCAACCCACTCACCGCGCGGCGGAGGCTTCCTGTAGCGAACCGGCAGACGCGGGCGCAGACGAGGAGCTCGCAGAGTGGGAGCCCGTTAGCCCAGCGGTAGCAGCAGCCGCAGCGCGGGGCCGGCCGGGAGGACAGCGGGCGGCTCCCCAGCGGGACACGTGGCGCGCCGAGGCCAATCCGATTCGCCCCGCCTTCCCTCCTCCATCCCCACCCCCCAAGTTCATTCGCTCCTGGAACTTAGAATGTCACGGGCCAAGAAGGGCCTAGCCAGGAGAACCTAGGGCAGTGCTCAGACCCCGGCCGAGATCTAGAGAATATGGGGGGATTTGGCCAAGGTCACACGGCCACTCAGGGCCAGAAGTCACAGCTTCCAATTCCCTGATCTGGACATTTCCCCCCAAATTCCAACCAGTCGCCAAAGCTTCGTTGAGAAACAACATCGAGGCGACAAAATTGAGGCCAAGCACTTTATCTGCCTGATCGATTTCATTCCTCAATAGCCCGGCCAGGCTGGTGACATTACTTACCCACTTTGGGGAGCGGGAGAGCCCAGAGACGTCCAGTTATTTGACCAATGTGACACGGCTAGTCATTTGTGGAGCTGGGATTCTAACCTGGGCCTAGTGACTCCCCAGGGATGCTCACTGGGGCTTGGCTCTGGGAAGTGCATAGTTCAGAGGAAAGGCAGAGAACAGCAGTTAAAGCCAGGGCTGGGTGGAAAATGCTAGAACACAGAAAATGATAAACTATTTGGGAATCCAGAGGGAACAGAATGATTGTCCCCCAGGGTATTTGTTGAGATTTCCTGAGGGAGGTGGCCCTGCAGCGAAGGTCAGTAGTATCTCCCATCCCCTATACCTCCGTAGAAGCTCTGCTTTGGCGAAAAGGTAGACTGATGGCAACCCTGGGCTGCCACTCACGAGCTGTTTGCATGGGCAAGACACTTAACTGCTTTGATTATAAATTTGCTCATCCAAAAGATAGTGACAATCAAAGCCTTGTCCAAGGGTTGTCCTCAATCTGTCACTAGTTCAGAGTCCTCCAAGCCTCCTGCAAGGAGACCTGGTTGGAAAGCATGTCCTTTCATCTGTTTGGAAGGGCCAAAGGCAGGCTGCTCCAAGATGGACCACTTTGGCATGAAGATTATTTTGAGTTTAAACCAGATTCAGGAAAAGCTCTTTATCTCCTAAATGTACAGTGGAAAGAGCCTGTACCAAGAAGAGAACTCTTTTTTTTTTTTTAAGGATTTATTTATTTATTTATTTGAGAGAGGGCGAGAGTGAGAGAGGGCACGAGAGCACATGCTTGCACGAGTAGGGGGAAGAGCAGAGGGAGATGGAGAGAATCCTCAAGCAGACTCCCCACTGAGTGTGCAGACCAACAGGGGGCCAACCCCAGGACCCCTAAGATCATGATCTGAGCCAAAATCAAGAGTTGGATGCTCAGGGGCACCTGAGTGGCTCCGTCAGTTAAGCTTCTGCCTTCAGCTCAGGTCATGATCCCAGGGTCCTGGGATTGAGTCCCCAGTCAGTCGGGCTGCCTGCTCAGTGGGGATCCTGCTTCTCCCTCTCCCTTGCCACTTCCCCTGCTTGTGCTCTCTCTCTCTCCGTCAAATAAATGAATACAATTTTTTGTTTTAAAGAGTTGGATGCTCAATGGACCCAGCCACCCAGGCACCCAAGAAGAGAATTTTTTTATTAACACATAATGTATTATTTGCCCCAGAGGTACAGGTCTGTGAATCATCAAACTTACACATTTCACAGCACTCACCATAGCCCATACCCTCCCCAACATCCATAACCCAACCACCCTCTCCCTACCGCCCCTCCCACCAGCAACCGTCAGTTTGTTTCATGAGATGAAGAGTCTCTTATGGTTTGTCTCCCTCCCAATCCCAACGAGAAGAGAACTTTTAACAAGACATTCGAATTTACCTAAGAAACTTATCTTCGTAACATGGCAAATTTTATTTTCCAGACATCTCTCACCTTCCTGCTAATAGTCTTCCTCAGAGCCCTACCCTACCCCCTAGCTCACTGAAGTGTCATGTTCCTCAGTGTCTTCGGAATTTCCATGTCTGTATGGATTCCCCTTAAGTATGAAACTAAATTTGATTTTCTCCTGTTAATTGGTCTCATGTTCACTCTCACAGAAGACAGATGGTTAGGTCATTGTTACAATACAGTCTGGATAGTCGTAATCTATAAAGTGCAATGCTGGCTCACAGCAGATGAACCCAGCCCAGCCCATCCAAATGCGAGTGATGTTAAGTTGTAACCAGAAAGATGAATGGAATCTAGTAGGAGACTAAGAAGAAATTAATATAATTACCTTATGATGAGATCTGTTAAAAATGAAACCGCTGGCCCGAAATAGTCATTGAGACTGAATTCATAAACTGTGGCTTGGGGATTAATACCTAATCTGTTTCAGCCTCCCCCAGAAATGTTGTCTTAACTGGTCAATTAGGAATTTTTCAATCAGTGCCAATGAATCTGCCGTTGGGGCCCTCCAAAGGAAGATGAGATCATCTGCAGGGTAAGACTCACTCAACGAGAGGAACAACAATGTGGAAGAGTGTAAGGAAGGCGGCCAAGCTGTAGGAAGAGCGCCTCAGCCAGAGGGAACAGCTGGAGCAAATGCTCGGAGGAGGCGGAGCTGGGAGCAGGCCTGCAAGGAGGCCAGTGTGGCTGGAGTGGAGTGAGAGGGAGGGGGAGTACAGGGAAAACAGAGATAAGGAAGGACCAGATCAAATGGGGGCTGGGGAAGGGGGTTTGTGGGTCCTTGTAAGGACTTTGTTTTTTACTCTGAGGCATTGGGGAAGCTGTTGCAGAGTACTGAGTAGAGGAGGGACATGCCATTTGTTTTCCTCTTTCTTTGGGGGTAAAATTCACATAACATAAAATTAACCATTTTAAAGTGGACGATTCAGCCACATTTAGTACATTCACATTCTTATCTCACCACCCCTCCTGTATAGTTCCAAACCAGTTTCATCTCCCTAAAAGAAACCCCGAACCCATTAAGCAATTACTCTCTAGCCTCCCCTCACCCAACCCCTGGAAACCACCAATTTGCTTTTCTGCCTCTATGGATTTGTCTATTCTGAATGGGCCATGTACATGAAATGATACTATGTGTGGCCTTTCATGTCTGGCTCCTTTCATTTAGTACGATTACATTAGGGTTCTCCAGAGAAACAGAACCAACAGGGTATATAGAAATAGATGTAGGACAAGATTTGTTATAGGAATTGGCTCAGGTGTTTTATGGAGGCTGAGAAGTCCTATAATCTGCTGTCTGCAGGCCGGAGAACCAGGAGGGCCACTGGTGTGATTCTGCTGGAATCTGTAGGCCTGCAAATAAGGGGCTGTGGGTCTGAGAGCGGGAAAAGATAGACATCCTGGCTCAAGAAGAGAGAAAGCTGAATTCACCCTTTCTCTCATTTGTTCCATTTGGCCCTCCATGGATTGCATGAGGCCTGACCACACTGGTGAGGGCAGCTCCTTAGTCTACTGTACCAAATCCTAATCTCTCAGTGAATCAAATGCTAATCATCACAGACACACCCAGAAAGGATGTTTTATCAGCTCTCTGGGCATCCCTTAGCCCAGTCAACCCGACATGTAAGATTAGCCATCATGACAGTGGTCCTGAAGTTCCTTCCTGTTGCCGCGTGTGTCTGTACTTTATTCTTTTTATGGTTGAATAGTATTTTATTGTGTGTATATATCACCTTTTGCTTATCCACTCATCAGCTGATGGACACTTAGGTTGTTTCCTCTTTTTGGCCATTGTGAATGGCGCTGTTATCAACATTTATGTATAAATGCTGGTGTGAGGACTTGTCTTCAATTCTCTTCCATATTTACTAAGAGTGGAATTCCTAGTCCATTTGGTAATTCTATATTTAACTGCTCGAGGAACTGCTGAGCTGTTTCTACCAGCAATGCACAGGGTTCTCCATGTTCCTGCCAACACTTGTTATTTTCTGTTTTTGTTTTGTTTTGTTTTTGTTTTCAATGCCATCCTAGTCAGTGTGAAATGGTATCTTGTGGTTTTATGTTCTGTTTTTATGACTGTAGTATAGCTGAATGTTTTCTTTTTTTGGTATCTCCTGATTTTGATTTGCATTCCTTTAATGACTAATGATGTTGAACACCTTTTCATGTGCTTATTGGCCATTTGTACATACATCTTCTCCAAAGAAATGTAATTTGCCTGTTCAAGGTATGCAAATCTTTTACCTATTTTGTTTTTTTTTTCCTCTGCCCATCTTTAAATTGGTTTGTCCTTTTGTTGTTGAGTTGTAAGAGCTCTTTATATATTGTATATTATATTTTGTTGTAAGAGTTGTAAGAGCTCTTTATATATTGTAAATTATATAAAATATTTATATTTTATAAGAGCTCTTATATATATATTATATATATATAAGAGCTCTAGCGATGACGTGGATGGAAGGAAGAAAAGAGCTCTTTATATATTTCTATGTCAAGAATAATGATAACTAACAGGACGCAAGAGTAGGAGTTGGAGATCTGGTAGGAGGCTTTTGGAATAATCTGGGGGAGAGATGCTGGTGGCTCAGCCAGAGTGGCATAAATGGAGTTGGTGAGAAGAGGTTAGAGACTGGATATACTTCAAGGTAAAATTAACATGATTTCCAGAAGGACTGGATATAAGGTGAGAGACAGAGAGGGGAGCCAAGAGTGACTTCAAGGATCTTAGCCTGGTGCACTGGAAGAATGGAGTTACTATGAACTGTGAGGAACAAAATTGTAGGAGGAGAATTTTGGGGAGTGAAAGTGGGAAAAAATTGACTTCCATTTTTGATCAGTTTGTTTAAGATTTCTATTAGATATCCAAGAGGAGATGTCAAAGAGACAGTTGTATAAACAAATCTGGCATTCAAGAAAGAGGTCAGGGCTGGGGATATAGATTTGAAAGTGACACACATAGAACTACTGTTCAAGTCCAGAGAAAGCGATGAGCTCATCAAAGGAGAAGAGAACCAAGGGTCACCCCTACATTAAGAATCAGAAAGGAGGCACCTGTGTGGTTCATTTAGTTAGGCATCTGATTCTTGGTCTCAGCTCAGGTCTTGATCTCAG